TATTTTTAATGGACACAAGTATGTTAAATTTTCATATACATATAATAAGAAAGCAAAAATTTAATATCAGGAAATCGATTTGTGGTGATTTATTATATCGAATGTTGAACAAAGACAGCAGAAAACAATTATATATTGTTTTAGCAGTTGTATGTTGTTGCATTTGCGATTGTGCGTACAAGTAGCGTGTTGAGAAAGAGAGAACAAGAAAGAGGACGAAACAACAAAAGTGAGTTTACACTGTGAAATTTACTTATTTCACCGTGCGACAGTAAATTTTACACACAAAAAAATCAACATAGAAGCTCGTGAAACCATAAGCCAAATATAGGAAAATTTTTAGTTTAAATTTTGATTATTAGGTAGTGAAAATGTCTTTTTATCCTTAAATTTCCTTAACATTTTGCAATTATTATAAAAAAAAATTATATGTTCAATACACTCCAGCACATTCTCTAAATTTATTTTCCTAACTTTATTTACTTAGAAAATTAAATTAAATTAAATTAAATTTTTAATACCTATTTTTAAATTCTATAGAACTTTTTCTTTTATTTGGTGCCCATATTGTTACTATACATTGTACTGAATTTTATAAATAATTTTTGGAATTAGTCCTATCCTTGAAACTACAAAGTCCTTTAAAAAAAATCTTGACTTCGGAAAGAAAAACCAAAAACGCGGTTTGACTACATTTGGTTCAAAGCTTCGGGTGTAAATTGATTTCTTCGTCTGTTTCGCAATGTTTTTTTATTTTTGTTGCACGGTGTTTTCTCTAAAACTGTCTATAAAACTATTTTTAATACATAATTTCTACACCAACGTAAAAAGCCAGTGCTCTATGATGTTCTTAATTTCATTTTTTTTATTATTATTATTTTATTTTTAACTCACCTTGTAGCCCGGCCCCAGACGATGCATCGCGCATATCTGTTGCGTTGTCAACGCTTCGCTGAATAGGTATATCGCCGACATTTGCCCGCAAAAGACGCGTTCCTCATCCAGTTCGGGCGTTGCGCCAATGTAACATTTGTCGAATGGCTACAAAAGGAATAAGGAGGTGTAGATCATTGTAGATATATTAGATCGCACCAACTTACGAGCAAACAAACAAAAAAAAAGTTCGCCATACACTCCTGAGTCCAAGGTACTTTTGCAAGGAAATTTCGAAAAAAAACATTTTTTTGCCGAACATTAGGGTGGTACCTTAGGTTGATAAGAACTGAAATCTGATGGATAAGTACTAGAATCGGGTAATTGAGGTCAATGAACTTTGGAATAAAAAACATCGATTTATCAGACTTTAATATCCGACTGCAAATGCCCAAGTTATGAAGAAAAATTTAACAACTCAACACGTCAATTAGGTAAAAATAATAATAATTTTTGGAATTGCCTTACAAAAGTATTTTAGACTCGACGGTGTACGAAGAACTTCTTTTTCCTGGTATGGTCTAATTTACATACATATTTGTACGTGTAATTATGCTGGTAATTGAAGTGATTGCAAATAGTAAAAATTGCCCGGTACTTACGTCGTTTGTTGAAACGAACCACGCCATTTCGGTACTGGACGCCAATTGTCCATTAACGAGGCACTTTATTTCGCTTTTCGTCCAACGATTATATATGTACACTATGGCAATCATGTACCACTGTAAGGAAAGAGAAGAAAATGTTAAAATATATTCGAGTAATAGTAGTATCGCGAGCCGAGGTATTTGCAGTATTCTAGAAAATAGATCGTAATGTACAAGGTGGAAAAAGGTAGAAATTTAAGAGATTATATGGTCTCACAAATCGTGTTGCATTTGTGGTTTGTAGCATTGAAAAGAGTGTGACATCTACAATAAGAATAGATAATGATGCAAAATCGATTTTTTGACCGGTACACTGAGGGAAAAAATATTAAAATCAAATAGAAACGTAATTGATCTTACTATAAAAGTCAACGAAAAAGTACTGTATATTGGTAAATATTCAATTCAATTACGCGCATATTAAAATGACCGCGTTCGTTCTGAAAAAGCATCCGTGAAGTGAATAATCAAGACAAAAACTAAAAAAAAAAAATATTTAACTTGCATGTTGCCTGCAGTGGAATTCGAACACTGACCATCTCTGGATATCAACAAATTGTGGCATGCATCTTTGCGCACTCAGCTACACCCAAGCATACAAATTTGCTTTCAAAGTTTGAATATCCATCAATACCACAGCACGCGATTTGTACGGATAAACATGTACTATGTATGAATGTGTGTGTTGTCACCGCTCTCAGAGCGGCGCTCTGCATACTTGGGGTGCGTATGTACACTCATATACATATATACTCAGATGTGAACAGTCAAATACGTGCGTAATAAATTTTGTATGAAAATATTATTTTTAAATTCGAACATTTTCAAACGATAATCAAATATAAAGTATTCATTTTTACTATGCATTATTTCCCTCAGTGTAAGTCGAAAAACTAACTTTCCTGTCACATAGTTAGAATAGTTATTATCAAAGCAAAACGGATCTGTATGCTGTGTTTACAGATCAGATAATTTTAATTTTTTTTTTTTTTCTAAAAAATTAAAATAATAACAAATCTATTGTGTTTTGTTTTCATTTTCATTAAAGCCTGTTCCTTTGCCAAAAAAGCTAGCTACTATCGATGAAAATCGTTGCATAAATAAACATGTTTTGAATGGTCTAAAGAAAATGTGCAAAAAGCAGGAAATAATGTAACTCATACGCCATGCGGTATCTACTAAATGGCCGTATACTTACATACTCCTACATGGCGTATGAGTACGGTGACCATCCGTTCTGTTTTTTGCAGGACCGTACTGTTTTTCAAAGGTCGGTCCTGCATAGTTTTTCAAACCTAAAAAACCTGAAAATGTACTGATTTTTTCCAAGTGTCCTGCATTTGTCCCGCATTTTATTCGTTATTTTAAAATTATCGGACAATGGATGGATGTTTTCAAAAAAGTGTTTTTTGGTAATTTTCGTAGCTTTTTTTTCAATATCTCATGAAAAAATTTCCCAATCAACGTAAGCGAC